GGTACAGATCTTTTGGGGGGCCTCATCTTCGGAAGTTGGTACCCTGTATCCGTAGTATAACGCACGTGCGTTATAAACGAATACAACGCACTCCGTGCGTTGTATTCGTTATTAACGCACGTGCGTTTTGTTCGGGGGAAGACTGTAGTGTTAACCACCCGGGACCATCACCCATTGCCATATTGGCAGGGTGACCTGACCAGACAACAGTTGCAGGCACCCTGTGATGCGCAACCTCACGCCCTGCGCTGTCTTTCGTTCGGAGTGTTTTCGATTGCGGAAGGGGGCCCTGGACAGACAGCAAAATGGGGTGTGCCAAGGATTTTTGGAAATTGAGTGCAGGGATACAGATAGAACCGAAATCCCCCTTGTTGTTCCGACTTAGTAAGAGGGTAGGGTCCGTCACTACGCAGATATCTTAGGGAGAAAAGGGCGCGCGCGGGACGTTTGACGTGAGAAATTCAATCCAAAAAATATCGTTGAACGTCCCAGCGGGCCGTTGCCCTTCGCTTAGCGTGAAAGGGGGCGGGTACACTTCTAGTGTCTCGTTTTCGGATCAGGTCCCGACGCCGCTCATTGCACAACTCAGAATCTGACGTGGAGGGTCTCAATCGTGTACCTCGTTCTTTGTGTTTGTCTTCACTCCGTACGCAGTAGTGGAAACTCTTGGATTGGTAACGCTCGAGGCGACAGCAGTCGCTACACAGAGTGTTGGGCCAATGGGGCGCCGCTGCCGTCCACGGAATGACAATCAACTCGTTAAACGGTAATAGCAGTGAATAAGGTGGAAAATGCGTATCAATAATGACAAAGCCTGCTCCGACAAATCCTGAGCACCGAGTTTCAGGAGGGAAATGATATTGGCCGCCGATCTTGGCGACGACTTCTCGTACGTTCCATTCGCATACATGTGTCTTGTTCTCGTTGTACGGGAAGGGACGCTGCAGGAGTATGGGAGGCCGGCGCCCAGTCGGATTGGGGCCTTCAGTCCACATGGCAAATCAATCAATAACTGTTCATCTTTAATCCCGTTCATCAATCGGGTTTTGCCTTTATCTATCTGAAACATGCAAAGCAAAGTGGGAACATCTTTCGTTTCTCAGAGAGAGAGAGAGAGAAAAAAAAAGAGAGAGAGAGAGCTTGCAATAGTTTATGGTTTCGCCCAGAAAGTTTCATACAGTGATCGAAGGGCGGTACCTACATCAAGTGAGACATAGCTAGTGATCCACGTATGCAGGTCGTACGTGGCGCCCTGCTTCCTTTCGAGAGGGCAAATCGCTTTCCGGGTTTGTGAAACGAGAGCAAGCCACAGAAGGTACGCGAAACGTATTCTGGAGTGAAGACCCGCTTGAGATCACATCATGATCAGATCTAAACACTCTTGCATTCTCGAACAAAATCCCAACAATATTGTTCTAACCAGCAACCCAATCTCAACCCACTCGTCATAACCCATCAGCCGAATCAAAGACCAAATTATCAATGACAAAGCATTCGGAAGGTGCGAAAATGACAACCATATATTGTCAAGTGTTCCGTGTGCTATGCACCCTTGCCCCGTTATTCCGAGTCTAATCAAAGAGTCGACCCATCAGGCAACCATTCTCAAACATGCCTAATCATTCACATTAGAAGATGAGCGAGCGAAATGAACTCCATAGAGAACAATCACTCAGAAGTCTGAAGATGAAAGAGTTTCCGGCTTAACTGCCACGAAGTTGCACTCATACCAAGGAATAGGACAGAGACAAAGAGGCGCATCCGTCGTAAAGTTCCACCATGGCCCCGGGCCATTTACCCATCCAACTCATGTCACTCCTCATACCTGCACCGACAGTCATGGCCGTCGCCTGCCACCTGCCACCATCGTTATCGTCACCCCGCCGACTTAGTTTCTGCGCGGGCTTGCCCCGATCCCACAGTCCGTCGTGGCGATCAGGCGCACAGCCAGCCAGTCTACAGTCAGCCCGTCGGGACTTTTCGACTAGCATCATACGCACACCATCTAGCCACTGCTTCCCGGAAGCTAGCTGACGAGTTGAGAGAGAGCTTTGCGGATGCGCCGGCGGAATTTATAGTTGCGAGAAGGGAGAGAGATGCGGGGAAAGATGAAGAGTAGGGTAGAGGAGGGTAAGGGAGGGCTTGAGGGTAATCGCCCGTTGAAAGCCATATTGATCCCACACAAGCCGATCTCAGCCAATCAGATTCGCCGCGCAGTAGGAATCTCCTCTTACACGATGCTTCTCCTTGGCTAGATGGAAAGGGAGGATCGAACGGGTTTCCGAGCGCAGGTTTTAGAGCGGGAAGAAGAAGAGTGCGAAGGATAGTGCGAAACGGGTCCAAGATTCAGATGATCAAGAAAGAGAAAAAGGGCGCGCGCGGGGAAGGAGGCCGAAAAACAGTTACACGGGGAGGGAGTGAGAAAGCATATGCGCGCGATGGAAGACACTGAAAGGAGAGTGAGAAGGAAGGAAGAGGGAGCTCGCTTGCATGGTGCTAAACATCAAAAGAAGAATGGGCACCGAAACAGTTGCAGTTTTTCCCAGTCCTACGCTAATTCAAAAATTGAAATCACCATGTCCGCGGGAAAAGTAGTTGCGGGAAAACAAAGGAGGTCCTACGCCCATCCCTATTCCTTCAAAATTCCCAGAGTTTTCCATGTCGAGGCCGAGAACATTCGCGTGTAAAAGAACACGCCGCGTTCCGTTAATTTCGGAATTCCTAACTGTCAAGCCAAATTTTGAGCGCGCTCACTAAGGTGCGCGTAATTCCCATGCATTTCTAAATAATAAAAAATGACGGAATTTTAAAAACTACTAGCGCTAACAAACAAGGTACCTTTAATTAAACAAAAACAAAGAGGACGTTTTCGGGGGCCGATCAAGACCTATCTAGATGCGGAGAAAACACTGGAAGGAAAGGGGTCCGAAAGATTGCGCAGGTCCGAAAGATGGCATAGGTCCGAAAGCTGGTTCGTCACATATGTGACGCACAGGGGGTTCCAAAATTGTGCGATCTCCTGATTGAATGCCATGGCGGAGGAGGAGGGAGGGGGAAGAGAGGATGAATGAGGAACCAAGCGTATCAGGAGAGAAAGTGTCCGCATCAGCACAGAGAGTTGAGCCAGAGTTCATGTTCACGCCAACGTCAATTGCAATATCTTCGCGAGTCTGCGAGTCTGCTGGCTCGAGCTGCTCGAATCCCCTTGCCTTCTCGATGATCGAAGATTGTCCAGGTGACGCCATCATCGTCCGCTGATTCTCCGTGTGCTCTGCACCACTGCCCTGTCATTGGAAGTCCGCCCGCTGGTAGTTGACAAGGAGAGGGTGATGGAGAGGTCGAGGCCACTCAGATGGGAGCGGAGGAAAGTAATCCGCTGCTTCGTCCCCGAGATCGACGAAATGGACAATCCAGTGTGCGTGGGGGAAGCGATGAATGGGTCGGGACAGGGATAGTAGGTAATCCGGGTATAAGGAGGGGATGGTGCGGAGGACATTATCCCTTAGGGACTCGTAGTCCTCCATGGCGGGAAAGGTGCCGGAAATGATACAGTACAACTCCATATGGTTGAACTGTATGCACGCGACACTGAAGAGGAGAGTATTGAGAGGGAAGGAGGGGTAACGATGTGGGAAGACCGTGCACAGGAGACGTGCGGCGAAGTGATGACAGAATGTGCGGCTGGTGAAGACACGATAGTCCAGGGGGAATTCAAGGTGGGGGAGGGGACGGAAGGCGAGGTAATCAAGGGGGCGGCGGAAGACGGGACGAGGACGGTACGTCTTGGCCGGGAAGAGGACGGGAACGAAGCGTGGAGGGGACGAAAATGGAGGGAGATGGTGAGCGAGAGCGGCATTGTCAACGGGAGGTTGTTGCGCCATCGTGTCGACTGGGGGCGTCTGAGGGAACGGCGGGATTCAGCGCGAATGCTCCTCGAACGGCAGGCAGCGCTCGTGCTGGTGGGGCCTCTTGGGGCTCAGGTGCCAACGCCTCTTCTTCTTCCTTTGACGTCGACCGCGCTTTCGACTCCTCTTCCTCCGATAGCCCGACGATGGCTATGCGACCCGGGTTGTCGTCCGACGACAGCTCTCCGTTCTCTCGATGTGCCTTCCAAAACTCGTCAAAGTCGGAGTTATCCGGTGCAAGTTCGTCCAGGTCCAGGTAGAGCCAGACCATAGGATCGTGATCACTTAGATACTGCCCGTAATCCTCCGTACAATTCGCCCAGATTACGGTTGGCGTCAACTTCCTCTGCAAGGTCACAGGTTCAGCCTGGGTCAGATCGCTCGGATTATAGGAGATGATGTCTGTCGGGAGGTCGTCGATAAGCTGAGACAGGAATGTGAGGAGCTCGTCGGCGACCGTTGCTCGTCCGCCCTTAGCGATCTCACCGCACAACAGCCCTACCAATGTGTCGTCGGTGGTCAATTCTTTCGGCCACAGCTGCGCCAGCACCAGTGAAATATCGTGAGTGCGCACCAACTCCCGATTACTGTAATACCGTGACCAGTGGCACTTTACTGTGAGCATACACACACTAACCGTCGCATATTCGGCCCACTTGCGGATGTAAGCTGGACTGAATGGAGGGGTTGAGGCGGGACGAATTTCCAGAGTGAGAAGGGGGTCGGCCCAAGATGGCCAGATGATCGGAAGGTCGGAGGGGAGAGAGAAGGTGGAGAAGCGATTCATCGGTGCTCGGGGTAGGGATGGAGATGGGGAAGCGTGCGAGAGGGGCGATCAGTGGCGCTAGTTTGAAGGGAGAAGGTATCAATACAGTTAGTCCCCATTACTTGTCGCCTTGGCTGGGCTAGTCGCTGCCGTCAATCAGCTGCCAACTCTTGTCCCCGCTCGTAAAGACGGGTTACTACTGCATCGCGCTGCTGCAAGCCGATGGTATACAAACCGGCACTGAAAGCCACGATTACAGTTAAGTCGCTCTGAGTAGGTCGTGAGAAGGAACGAAATCCCGACGCCTCTACCAAGATGACTGTCGAGCCTCGATCGGTTGATATAGTTATCTCAACGACGGCGCACCAAGCCCCGTCGCTGAAGAGCTGCGCAAATCGGAGAAGGTCAGGACTGAGACGGGGATGCGTGACTTGGCGAAATTACAACAAAGTTCGAGGTTGAAGAAGCAGAGGTGGAAGGGCCGGCTCAATGACAAAACTCATGGCGAAGGTGAGGGGGAAGTAGATTCAGATGAAAGAAAAGAAACAAGCTCCTCGTCTGCGCTGGAGGAAGAAGAAGAAGATGGACTTGAGTTCTCCGAAGGAGGGAGGGGGCGAAGCTAGGAGGTGTGGCGGGCAATAGGAAGGGAGTTATGGCTGGCGCTGGTCTCAGGCGCAATGCACACCGTGTTGGCTCCGTTAGGACCGAGTTCTACGACGCGAAAGCAGCGAGAGAATTTGGGAGCGAGTTTACGGTCGCGTGCACATTTGCGTACCTGCACCAGATCCCCTAGCTTATATTGGTGTTGCGGGCCCGCGTTCCCATTCGGGCCTCGTAGCTACGGACCTGTCTACCTTGGGCCAGTTCGGTCATTTTCTGTCTTTTCCGGGCCAGCTTAGGAATGACCCTTTCCATTAAGTCCGCATATCGCTTGGCTTTGGCCTTAAGGGCTGCGCGCGTGTCCCTACCCCCTTTTTCGACAATTTTTGTGATACCCCGATTATCGACACATGGAAGGCTATTGGTTCGAAGCTGGAAGGGCGTGAACCCCGTGGATTCATGAGCGGTCGCTCGATGGATCCCGACGATCTGACAGGCAATCTCGGGCCAAAGACGCATGTCACGAGCCGCTAAGTTCTTACAGAGGGCGGTCTTAATCATGCGATTCGCATTCTCAGCCAACCCGTTCGACTAGGAAACATGTCGGAGAGTAACGCCACGACACATTAGTAATTCCTCTACCTCAGCCTTGAATTTGGATCCATTATCGGTTAGAATCTACTCTGTACCTAGATGGGTATTGAGGAATCAATCGATGTATGTGGCTATTTCTGAGGCCTTACGGGTCTTACACGAGTAGACTTCGATATATTTCGAAAAATGGTCGATTAATACCAAGAGGATGGAATACTCGCAGCGGTTGGGGTCAGGCGGCAAGTCAATATCTGTCGTATTCATACTGACCTGCTGAAAAGGTCGTTCTACCTATGTCAGGACGATCGTATTTGGTCCACGAATGGGTGCACGGTCGGCCGCACAGACCAGAAAGCTAGCAACCACGTGCTTCACATCATCCCGGATATTAGACCAGAACCATCGATTTTGATCAATAGTTGCCTCGGTGACACGTATTGCGAAATGAGCGACCTGTTCCTCGTGCGCCGATCTAGTCCAGTCATATCTTTGGAAGGGATGGGGAACCGTCAACCATACTCCTGAGCCGTCTGTCTTATGCTTCTCCAAATGTCCGTTGATCCATCAATTTGTCGAGATCTTTCGGTAGCCCGACGTCTGTCGTGCTTAGTGAGATGGTCCAACGGTTGGCCAGCTAATTTAATAATATTTTATCTGTCTATACCTCCGCCCGTCGATACTTCTCATCGTATTCAGGGTCGTCCGTTCGGGCAGCCTCGAACCGAACCTCCGTAGGAAGGTTGTCCGTCCTACACAGGGGGCATCTCCATTCCTTACTACTCGTTTTGTATCGAACACACGCGCCATGTGCACGATTGACACACGTGGCGCATTCTACCCAGTCGGTAAATCCGGACTCAAAGGGATAGCAGTCTACCCCATAAACTCGGGAAATACACGTGCAAAAATAACAAAACTTGTCCGGGAGATTGACGAGAAAGTCCAAGTGAGCGAGGAGAGCAGAAGAGGCGGGAGAGACCGAGACCAGGGGAGTTTCCATTGTTCCGAGAGAGGGAGGGAGAGAGAAGCACGATGCACGTGTCCACTTAACCCTTCAGCAGGATCTCCACTTGTCCGTACTGAGGCTCGTTCTTTGGCTCTGGATTGCGCTAAGGGATCACTTCCTCACTCCTGGGTACCTTGTCGGGGCGGTGGAGTTGTGTCAGCCCGTCCGCTTTGCCGTGTTTCTCGTGTTTCCGATGACGAATGTCGAAGTCCATACTCTGCAACGTGGTGGGCCTGGCCCATCGCCCGATCATGCCCGAGTAATCCTTGGACTTCTTCAGTGCCAGCAGCGGTTCGTGATCGGTCACCAACGTAAACTTCCGGCCATATAAGTACGCTCGGAAGTGACTGATCCCCCACAAGGCCGCATAGCATTCCCCCCTCGGGCCAGAGTAGTTGCGTTTACAGGATGACACTGACTTGGACGCGTATTCCACCACGTATTCGAGGTCGTCTGGTCCTACCTGGGCCAAGATCGCCGAGACCGCCTCGGGCTGCCAATCGATGATGAGGACAAAGGGCTTTTCTGCGTCTGGTCTTATGAGGACTGGAGCCGAAATCAGGGCCGCCTTGAGTTCTCGGAACGCCCGATCACGTTGTGGAGTCCAGATCAATGACTGATCCTTTTTCAACAGATTCGTGAGTGGCCCCGCGATAGCTGCAAACCCCTTGATGAACCTTCGATAGTATGATACCAAACCCAAAAAGGCACGCACTTGTGTTACGGACGTCGGTACTGGCGCGTCTTTCACGACTGTCACTTTCTGAGGCTCCGGCTGCAATCCTTGGTCCGTTACTACGTGGCCGAGGAAGGAGATCTCAGTGAGGAAAAACTGACACTTCTCAACAACCACTTTGAATCCTGCGTCCTTCAGTGCGTGTAAGGTCCATTCAATGTGCTGCACGTGCCCCTCATAGGAACTTGAAAACACAAGGATATCATCCATATACACAATCACACAGTAATTGATTATGCTCTGCGCCAGCCGCGTTTTTCGCACGAAGTTCTGGAAGGCCATGTTCATCGCGCGCTAAAACGTGGCTGGGGTGTTGCAAATCCCCATCGGACATCGAACCCATTGCCAAGTCCCTTCGAAAAGAATGAACGCCGTTTTCGGACGGTCTTCTTTTCGAACAAGGAGATGGTGGAACCCATGGCGGACAAATTTACTGAAAAATCGAGCGCTACCGATAGCATCCAGCAACTCATCATTCCGGGGGAGGGGATACACATCCTTAATCGTGATATCATTCGGTCTTCGATAATCGATGCATATGCGAATTCCTCTTGCTTTTTCTGGCACAATCACTACCGGAAACGACTACGGTCCGATAGCGGGTTTGATCCATCCATTAGCTTCAAACTCCCATATCCTCTGAAACGCGGCCGCTCTCTGTGCCGGTGAATACCGATAGGGAGCGCAACTAATCGGTGGATGATCCCCCATGAGGATCGTATGCTCAATCACGTTGGATAATCCAATACCGTTATCATGCACACTCAGTACCTTTGCATACCCATGTAAAACATCAATCAAGGATCTTTGAATTTCTCGGGGGACATGACTGGGTAGTGCAATCACGGAGTTATCAGCGATGTTTAGGGGCATCTCGATCCAATCCATCCTTCGTGATCGTTTGTCGTGCACGCTGGAAAATATGGAACTACTAGTTCGGAGCGAGAAGACGGTGGCGATCATCTGTGATTCGGCCGGGCTGATCATCTCAGTCTCCTTAATTTCGGCATCGGTTTCAGAGTCGGCGGTGTTTTTCGCTATCTCCAACCCTGTTAACCCGGCCATTTCCTGCTTGAGATCTGGAACATCATCTATCGGAGCCTCAGCTTCCTGTTTGATCAAAGCGATCATGGCTCCTTGCGTGAGTAGTGATCTAGGCGGAGAGACAGAAAGATCCAGATACTGGTTCATCTGCTGATACCTAGCCCAGAGTGAAAGCGTGCCCTCATATAACGTGTGAGCGGGTTCCAAGAGATCAGTCATGTCTGAAATTGCAGGATTGGTTCTCCTAGGAATGTCGCGGGGGGGATCCGTTTTGCTGCGGACAGAATACGGCTCGGCTAGCTACTTTCCGAGCTAGATCGAATGTTCGGGTGGTTGCGGGGATCATTCGAAATTCTTCATTAGTCTCGCAACCGAACATTTCGACTAACAGTTCCCATTCTTTTTCATTAGGCATATCGTTCAGTTCTTCCTCGTAATCGCGTTCGTCGAACTCATCTTCCCACGCAAGGTGCTGTTTTTTATCATTGTTCGGGGGAGACTCTTCTGGGCCCGGGATCTGGATCATTCCTATCCGGACAATACTGGGATTTTTCTTCGGCGATCAAGTAGAGATTCGTAGTGGCAGTGTTTGAGGTTTCCCCCCCGTATGCGTGAGGACGAGTTGTTTAGAATCAAAGTGTATTCGTGCTCCTACCGCCATCGCCCAGGGAAGTCCTAACAGTACCGAGTAAGAGTGTACGTCGATAACTAACGCGTTAACCAGCACGTGTACTCGGCCAACCTTGACCGTGACGATCTCAATGATCCCTACGATGTTCATGGATTCTTCATTGGCCGAGACACAGTTGTCCTTCGCAGGTAGGGGGAGGATCGAATTCAGTCGGCCCATCTCTTCTGACTGTGTCTAGGGATATAACTACCGCGGATGATCCGGTGTCAATAAGCGCATCAAATGGTTGACCCCAAACCTCGTAATCACACTCGGCGCTTTTCCATAGGACCGATCGGACCCGCACAAAATGATCTCTCTCGGCGTAAGAAATGACGGCGATTCTTGCCGTGTCAGCTTCGATCGCAGGGGGAGGACTCGCCTCGTTCTCATCTTCTTTCTTCTTCTTTAGCATACGCTGAACGCGCTGGTAGGTAAAGCACTTTTGATTCTTCTGTCATTGTTGCAGAAGCTTGTCATTTGCAGCCTCAGATATGGTCAGCAGGTGTCCTACGGGGACCGACACTCGGATGTCTAGCTGTTTGAGTGTTTGTAGGACATCGATCTCTCCTGTTTGAAACTGTGGTCCTGGCTTCGATGCACGCTCGACCCAATCGAGCTCGTCTTTAGCAGGTCGGATCACTCTGATCAGTCCTGCCAAATGAAGGTACTCGGCGGGATCGACGACATCAGCGGCTTCGGAAGATGATCCCGATGTAGACGCGACAGGATCGGTTGAGGGTGGTTGATCGGCCACGAAGGGGGAAGCTTCCCTCGCGGCTTCCAATACTGTGGCCACCCGGCCTTGATTCAAGGTCACAGGCGTGGCTGCAGATGGAGGTTGATTGCGTTTTGGCTGGGGGCATTCTCGCGCGAAGTGTCCCGACTGCTTACAGTTGTAGCATTCGATCCTTCCTGCTGGATTAGCCATATGAAGGGGAGCGGGAAGAGGAGCTAGTCCCACTGCAGGAGGGGCGGTCCGCAGCGGGTACTGAGTGGAAACAGGGCGAGAAGGGTTGGAATTAGTCTTCATTAGTTTTGTCATGATCTGTTGCAACCGATCCATCTGAGAAGCCTACATCTGAAGCAGATTATTCACCCACTCAGACTGTTTGGTCGTAGCAGTATGAATCATCTGAGCCAGATGCATGTTGGTGATAGGTACCAATGCGGCGTCTTGAGTCATGATTGTGTTCACAGGCGCCGCTTCGGGAGGAAGAGGAGGTTTCGTGGGAGGTAGGGAGTGATACAGGGAGGGATCAGGGGCGGGGCCGTCCTGATAGTTGTGATCAGGACGAGGGTAAAACCGTCCCACCGCTCTGAGCCATGACTGCCGCTTAGCGGCCACGTCTTGGATCGTGTCCGAAATGTCTTCTTCTCCCTGACTAGTATACTTACACATGTCCAACAGATCTAACTCAAGGGCTTTGGCTATAATGACGGACAGTTGGTTCGTCTTGGGAGGGACCTTTTTCTGCAGCTTCGTCTTCAACACAGGATTGCGGAGATGATCGATGAATAGATCTCAAGCAGCATTTTCTTCCCGTACCGATTTGTCTAAGGTGGTCTGAAATCGATCCACGAAGTCGGGTAACAGTTCGCCTGGTTCCTGTGGACGGGTCTTCAGTATGAACTATGCATCATCGTCACTGACCGCGTCAAATCCCGCTAGGAACGCTCTCTTAAAGGTGTCCCAATCTACCCATCGGTGCCTTCTGAACCAATCATGCGCAGTATTTCGGAGTAACGGGGTGATGACGCGGGGAAGGTCCTCGGCATCATAACCTTGTGCTTGCACGGCTTCAAGCCATGCCTTCGGATGAGTGTAGTTGGGGTAGAATTGAAAGGTAGCGGGGATGCTTACCATCACCCGGGGAGGTGTTCCATTAACATCAGCCATGGGCATCTCTATTCGAGCCTCGACGGACCTCTGCCGAGGGACAGGAGGACTGCGGCGAATAAATTGTTTAGCTGATCTTCCTCTCGCCATCTCATCTTACTATCGTCAGAACCGACACGTGTCAACTCCGATACCAGCCTCACGCTCTGAGCTGTCTTCCGTTCAGAGTGTTTTCGATTGCGGAAGGGGGCCCTGGACAGACAACAAAATGGGGTGTGCCAAGGATTTTTGGAAATTGAGTACGGGGATACGGACATAACCGAAATCCCCCGTGTTGGTCCGACTTAGTAAGAGGGGAGGGTCCGTCATTACGCGGATATCTTAGGGAGAAAAGGGCACGCGCGGGACGTTCGACGCGAGAAATTCAATCCAAAAAATGTCGTTGAACGTCCCAGCGAGTCATTGCCCTTCGCTTAGTGTGAAAGGGGGCGGGTACACTTCTACTGTCTCGTTTTCGGATCAGGTCCCGACGCCGCTCATAATCGGCTCATTGCACAACTCAGAATCTGACGTGGAGGGTCTCAATCATACAGCTCATTCTTTGTGTTCGTCTTCACGCCGTACGCAGTAGTGGAAACCCTTGGATTGGTAACGCTCGAGGCGACATTGCCGCGACAACAATCGCTACACAGAGTGTTGGGCCAATGGGGCGCCATTGTCGTCCAAATCAACTCGTTAAATGGTAATAACAGTGAATAAGGTGGAAAATGCGTATCAATAATGACAAAGTCTGCTCCGACAAATCCTGAGCACCGAGTTTCAGGAGGGAAATGATATCGGCCGCCGATCTTGGCGACGACTTCTCTTACGTCTCACTCGCATACACGTGTCCTATTCTCGTTGTACAGGAAGGGACGTGGCGGGAGTACGGGAGTCTGGCGCCCAGTCGGATTGGGGCCTTCAGTCCACATTGCAAATCAATCAATAATCGTTCATCCTTAATCACGTTCATCGATCGGGTTTTGTCTTTATCTATCTGAAACATGCAAAGCAAAGTAGGAACATCTTTCGTTTCTCAGAGAGAGAGAGAAAAAAAAAAAAAGAGAGAGAGAGAGCTTGCAATAGTTTATGGTTTCGCCCAGAAAGTTTCATACAGTGATCGAAGGGCGGTACCTACATCAAGTGGGACATAGCTAGTGATCCACGTATGCAGGTCATACGTGGCGCCCTACTTCCTTTCGAGAGGGCAAATCGCTTTCCGGGTTTGTGAAACGAGGGCAAGCCGCAGAAGGTACGGGGAACGTATTCTGGAGTGAAGACCTGCTCGGAATCACATCATCATCAGATCTAAACGCTCTTGCATTCTCCAACAAAATCCCAACAATATTGTTCTAACCAACAACCCAATCTCAACCCACGCGTCATAGCCCTTAAGCCAAATCAAAGACCAAATTATCAATGACAAAGCATTCGAAAGGTGCAAAAATGGCAGCCATATATTGTCAAGTGTTCCATGTGCTATACACCCCTGCCCCGTTATTCCGAGTCTAATCGAAGCGCCCACCCATCAGGCAACCATTCTCAAACATGCATAATCATTCACATTAGAAGATGAGCGAGCGAAATTAACTCCATAGAGAACTTGAAAAATCACTCAGAAGTCCGGAGATGAAAGAGTTTCCGGCTTAACTGCCACAAAGTTGCACTCATACCAAGGAATAGGACAGAGACAAAGAGGCGCATCCGTCGTAAAGTTCCACCATGGCCCCGGG